CACTACAATGGATAATCAGCATCTTAGAAGCTCATCCTGGCGGTTTAGTGGAGCTTCTTTTACAAAATGCACAGAATCAAATTAATTCTGGAGCTACCCAGAGATTGTTGGTATTTTACAAACTAGTTGTTGGTGCATTTCCCTTGGCCAGCAAGATTCTGGCATCCATTGTCCAAGGGTTTTGAATAACTAGCATCCTTCTAACATCCTTGAAGGCTGTCACAACTGATGTCACCATAAGGCCTTCCTGCCATCCACTTCTAGGTGTATTCTCTCTTTCTTGAGACTGTGTAGCAGTTTATCTGGACTTTTCTGAGGGTGACCTCGAAAAAACTTCTTGTTTTCTTTTTGTCTTATTTCTTCATTTTTACAAAATAGATGTAATTAATAGTTCCTAGGGTTGTTGTGAGGATGAAATGAGATCATCTTTAAGTTCTCAGCACAGTGCCTACACACAGTATACCCTCAAAAACTGCTTTCCTTTCCCTCTCCCCACCCTCTACATCTCTCCTCTCCTCCTTCTCTTCCTCTTCTGTTTATTCTGCCCTCTTCTTCCTCCCTCATGCCCCCCTTTTCCTTCTAATTATTATTTGTTGTTAAATAGAGTTTGGTTAATACTGCTCTATATCAAGCCTCTTTGTGGTTTATTCTAATATTCTCATTTTTAAGTATGACATGTTTCTATCAGGGTCTTAGCAAGAAGTAGATGATATAATCAAACTGGGTAAATTGAAAAGTCTTTAGTAAAGGAAATATTCATAAAGGGTTGAAAAGGATATAGAGCAACAGTCACCAACCTTTTTGGCACCAGGAACCAGTTTCATGGAAGACAGTTTTTCCACAGATCAGGGGTGTGGAGTTGGGAGGTGGTTGGGGGCTAGGTAGTAATGGGGAGTGACTATAAATACAGATGAGGCTTCACTAGCTCGCTGCTGCTCACCTCCTGCTGTGTGGCCCACTCCTAACAGGCCACAGACCAGTACTGGGTGGTGGCCTGGGGTTTGGGGACCACAGGTATACAAGGGGTACAGCAAAACTCTGAACCTAGTAGCAGTAGATGAGAGTCAGACCTCTGGGTCCGAAGAGACAATGAGAGTGTATCAGTCCACTTTTGTCTTGATAATCAACAACCTCAGTATCTCAGTGGCTTATAATGAACACTTATTTCTTGTGCATTTTACATGAGGACTGCAGGTTGGCTGCAGTTCTGCTGGACTCTACTGCGCTTGGCTGGACTCTGCTTGTCTTCTCTTTTGAGAACCCAGGCTCACAGTGATCTCTGATTGGGACATGCTCTTCTTATGGTAGAGGACAGAAGCAAGAGGGCCAGAGCCAACAATTCTTTTTTTTCCTTATCCCAATGCACATTTGGAGCTTCTGCTCTGAGGAGATGGATGTCACACCTGATTACCTTCCATAGACCAGAGCAAACCAAATTGTCAAGCCAAAATCAGTGGAGTGGGCCATGAGGAAGAAAATGACTTTGTGAGCAAATGATACAGTCTATTACAGGGAGTAGATGGTTACTGGAACCCACAGCAGAGAGAATTGTGAGGAGAAGGCTGCCTGGCAGGAGCTGAGACTTTGTAGCAAGCTATCGAGCACACAAGAGGGATCTGGAGGAACAAATTCCCCAAACTTATCTCCTGCCTTCTGCCAATCTCTAGTATGTATCTGGAAGCCAGAGACAAGGGACTTTAGTACTTACAGGCCATTTTCCTGGGAGAGAGAAGTGAGTGGAAAAAAGTCGAGAGTGAATATGGAGAGGCACATGGAAGATGATTTGGTCATAATCTGATTCATAATAAGGATATTAAAATTGCAAGAAAATGTACCACAAAGCATTTCTTAAAAACTAGCAATCCTCATTCCTAAACGACTTAAGAGGAATTCCAGGCTGACTGTTCATAAAGTAAAATGGGGGAAAAAATTAAGATGACAATAAATCATGCCTAAAATCCTGCTATAAATCTAGTGGAAAACCCTTGTGGGTGACATAAGGCATAACCTTTAACAGCTAATAGTCTTGAAACTGTTTGCATCCGACCCTTCTGAGTCCCTAAGTGGTTTCCATTCCAACATTGTCATTTATCTTGTGATATTTACTTTATTGTGGTAAGTTGCAATGTTTTTTTTTTTTTTTCTCCGCGAGTCTGTGATAAAATAAACTCACCAGAGTAAGATGAATGCCAACTTGTTAACAAGCCTCACTTAGAAGGGAATGGAGCTAAGCTAGCCCAGCAAGAGACATGAGAGTTTTGTCTCCTTCAACATCAATCCCTATGAGATGGTCCTCTATGCATTTATGTGTTGTCACAGATAAGTTGATAGAAGATCTCTTAGTTCTGAAAGGTTCTTGAGAAAAATGGTGAAGGAGGGCAAGAGATCTCTCTAAGGCCTGTGTCTTCCTGTTAACCTTTCTCTCCTCAGATTCTTTCCCAATTCCCTTTCTGAGGGCATGTGATAATCTCATGTTTCCTTGGTTATCCAGTTACCCTAGGTTCTAGGATTTGGAGTTCCCCATTGGGTCTGCTTTCTGTAGAAGGAGAAGAATGCTCAAGATCTTCTCCCCATAATCTCACCTCTGCCTAAAGGGGGTAAAGAATTCTTCCATCCCTTCCATTACTCTCTGTACCCATTTCTTAGCTTCCTTTTCCTCCTCCCAGTGCAAGAGAAAGCTGCCAGTCAGGGTGCTCAGGGCCTGAGGCATCAATGGAATCTAGTCTCCATTCTCTCCCTGTCTGCTTCCCATTTCTCCCGTAGGTCCTCCTACTCCTGTGCAGTAACCATACCCAAGGGCCACTATTGTAGGTTGGCTGGACTCATCTGTTTGTCTGCGCAGGTCAGAAGCTTAAAGTCTGCTGTACATATATCACCTTCACTGTTAAAACTGGGAGAAAGCCCGGATGTCATGCTTTTCCACAGAACACCATGGATCACCTGCATTATCGGATTGTCAGGGGTTTGTTCTGTTTATAAAGAATTATATTTTGCTTTCTTTTGATGTTTGTTTCTTGTGTGAATGCTTCCTTAGTTGGGAACTCTAGAAGAGAGGAGAAATTTGAGATTAAGATTTGGGCACCAAAGTTTACCCCTAACTTAAGCCCTTTCGTTAGGCTTAATGTCATTTTCTCTCTCCATTCCTGCACAATTGCATTTGAGGAGATACCAAACCACACAGAGGACTTAGTGTTGAAAGGACTTTGTTAGTGTGGGACTGGGTTTGGGTCATATTATCAGACAGAGTTTGGTTGTAGCTAACATAAACCAGTGTAGCTACTTTTAATCAGAAATGGAATTAGGTGTTCATAACATCCTTAAAGTGCTGAAGGAGTGGGCTGGACCTTCCAGAGTGACTTACTTCCAGAACAATACCATAGAATCAACCCACTTGGGAAACTGCCACTTCTGCTGCAATACTGAAGTGTGGGAATCCAAAAGCAGACATGGCAAGTGATGCATTCAGGAACACACCATCCTGATTGTGAACTGGGGCAAGGAAAAAACCATGGCAGTCATTGCCTTAGCACTGTGCCACAGCTTCAAATTCAACGTCCACAAAACATAGAAAGAACCCTCCATCCTGCCTACCCTCGTGTAGCCAGTTATTAGACACTGGCAATTGGATATTGTTACTACAGGAAAATCCAGTGCCCCTGTGAACAAGCTGGTCATCAGCAGTATCAGAAGGACCCAAAAAGAGACCTTTACCTTTGTCACACCTTCCAAATCTCATGCAATTTTATATATTTGGCCAACCTAAATCATAATTAAATTTTAACTCTAAGAGATTATGAGAAATACCACTTCTAGTTTTTCACTCTTTGCAGTTTGAGAAGGCACACTAGGATAATGAATATGGTAACCAGATAGTGGATTTTGCACACCTGGAATCCACAGTTAAAAATACATTTTAATCAAAACCCAGATTGTGTGTGCATGTGTGTGTGTGTGTGCATGCACATGTATGATGGGTTCACAATGTTTTGCAAAATGATATTTACTATGTACAGAAATAATCCAGCCATGTAATATGAAAAATAGAGACATTTATTGAAGATGATATAAGATACAAGTAACGTTGTACACAGAACAATGATGCCTTAGTCCCCTTCAAAGTAGGCACCTTGGGACCTCACACAGTTCTCCCAGCATCTCTTAACGTAACCCTACACATATAACATTCTCAGGTGTTCTGCTTGTTTCAGGCCTTTCAGAATGTGGATCACTTTCAACCTATTCTCAGCCATCTTTAAAGTATTTGTGCCACACTTTTATTTGTGCTGTATTCATTGCATTGGTCTGGAAAGCCTTCTGAATCATCCAAATAGTTTCTGTAGAGGAATGTTCAAGCTTAACTAAAAATTTGATGCAGATTCATTGCTCTACTCACTCAGACGGCCACACAGTACACATGATCACTCATCAGCATCTAGCACCCTGCTGACTAGTACAGTGCAGTTGTCATTGTGCACACATGTGCATTCCAGTCCACTCTCCTTGGCTGCCAGGTTACATTGATGTCAAGCTAACTGTGTTATATCATCAGTGGCTGGATACTTTCTGGACAGATCTCATATAATACACTCTCTATTCCATTTCATTCCATTCATTGTTTTCCATTCTGTCCCATTCCATTCTATTTCATGTTTTTAAAAAAGCTGGTTGTGATAATAAACTTTTAGTTCTTCTAAGTGATTGCATCCTCAAGTTTGACAAACCCTATACTAGGGGAAGGGTGGTTTTTGAGCACCTATGTACCATATTCATGGCACATGGCTACCCAGGAAAGGTTTTTATAGATTGCAGAGTTCTAAGTTTTGTAAGATGGCACTATCCTGAGTCCTATTTCCCAGGCCACTTCCTCTACTCTCACAAATTGATATGATAATTTAATATGAGAAATTACTGGATGTGTTAAGTGGTTGAACTGTTGTTCTTCTCAGGCAGCATGTAGGAGTTTTCACACAGATCTCCTCTCTTCCCTTACTCTGATTCAGTGTTCTGAACTGTGGGGGTTATGGAAGCAGAACAGCACTACTGAACCCATCGATTACACTCTGGAGGAGGCCAGCTATCACTTCTGTGCTGAGGACTCTTCTTTCTCACCACCAGGTGGTTGGTGACAATGGGCTTTATATGGATCTCGGATACCTGTAGTTGGAAGGTGTTTTAATTGTGAGTCTTTTCATGACACAGGCTTTCTCACTTTACCAGCAAATGCTCAGACCATGCATATAGTAATTCAGCCTTCATGGTATTTCCTAGAAAGGGTCAAACTGCCTTCAGAACCATTAACCTGACTTCTGAACCATGAAATAAAAAAAAGAGAGAGAGAGAGAACCTGATTTCTGAACCATGAATAAGAAGAGAGAGAGAGAGAGAGAGAGAGAGAGCACAGTGAGAGAGAGAATGGCTACAATTCCCATTTCCATAGTGTTCTAAACATCTCTTTATTATAAAATTTATTTCTATTTATCTGCTGATTCAATGCATTAACCAAACTTTCCCTCCTAGTGATTCAGAATTTTTAGATCTAAGACTTAAGATTAGTTATTAATCCCTCTCTCTCCAGCTTGTAAACTCCTATTCATCCCTCAAAATGTCAACTCAATTTTCACCTTTTTTGTGAAGCTGATTCTCTTGGGCATAGCTGGCCCTTCCTCTTTGCTTCAGCAGCATTTTTTACATTATATTTATTATAGATATGTAAATTTACATACTGTTATTGCATCTTATGATTTGTTGTCTATGCTTTCTCTTAGATTGATCATCATATGGGACTTGAATTAGCTATATACATCATACAATATAGGACATGTTTGCATTCATTCTTAGGGTAAGTAGGATAAATGTTGCCAATTCTTTAGGGTTTTTTTTTTTGGTTATAATAAAAATTTGAGACATACATAAACTATGACACATACATCACTATGATGGTGATTGATCCATTTTCTCTCCATGTCTGATTCATTCCCCTTCTCTGAGCCCTTTTTCTTCCCACCTCCCTCACTTCTCACCAGGTATATTTTTCCCGTTAAGTCTCAGTGGTAGAAACTGCTAGTTACCTCCTAATATCCAGTTCCCCTTCTCTCTTGGTAATAAGGACCTTGATTTTCAGCTGAGCAGATTTAACCACCAGCTAAAAGACTACATTCTTCAGCCTTCAATGCAGTTAGGTAAAGCTATGCGACTATGTTTTGGCCAGGAAGATAAAGGAAAGTGGCTAGGAAATGTGCTTAATACCCTTTGCACTCGGATGTCGAGTGTGACTCGACACTGTTAGCAAAAATTATAGAGATTAAAATTACTCTTTGAATGTATCAATAATTTGAAATATAAAAAAATCCAAATAAATAAGTTTGCATGAAAAGAAACTCCAGTTTTTATTCTACTGCCGCGCTTTGTAAAATCTGGGGTATTTAAAAAATTAAATCCTGAGTAGAATAAAGGAATCGAGAAAAAAGCAAGCGAGTGCAAAGGGTTAAAGAAAGAAGAGTCCCTTCTGTCTTCATCCTGTAATTTGAAACAAATGGGATGGCGGGATATCTGGCAGTCATCTTGTATTGAAGGGTAGTGAAGTGGAAAGATGAATGGAACCAAGATTCCTGATGACTTCGTGGAATCACCCCATCAGTGCTGGACTGCATACCTCTGGACTTTTTAAGGAGAGAATAAAATATAGAGTGTTTAAACCACTGTTAATTTAATTTTTCTTTCACATGTGGCCATACCTGATCCTATCCGGTAGAGCCTGTCCCTGGCTCAGCAATCATTTTAACTTATATGTGTTAGACTTCAAGCTCTTTGTTAGGTATATGTGCTAAGTGTCTGGAGTGATGTCTGACACAGAGTTGTGGGGATTTAGAAGGGGGCATACCTCTTCTCTTCTTGAGGTGGACAGAATGTCTTTAAGCTGGGTAGCATGCCATTGCTCTGGTTTCAAGGTGAGTTCCTAGCTGTGAGGCTCTAATACATCAATGTGGACTACAAGAGGTATATTCTCATTCAGTTGTCTATAAGGGCCCAGGCCAAGGATACCCTTCCTCTATTTGCTGAAGTTTTGGATACCTTATAGTTTTCTCTTGGTAAGTATATGGAAAGTTACTCCTCATCTGGGACATCACCATGCTAAGAGACACTGTCTCCTAGGATGCTGGTAACCCTATGGTCATAAACAGAATGATGTGAGCTATAGACTCCAAGATGTTGAAGCTACAAGAGAACTTAGAGGGCCTTATACAGCTAATTCATTTGGTAGATAGGAAATGAGGTTTTTAGAAGTAGTTTGACACAGCTAGAAAGGGACAGAGCTAGGACAATTTTCCAGTTTGGTTTTCTTTGCCAAACATGGTACCTGATCTCCCTGATAAATATATCAGGGAGATTAGTCCTGATAATTAGTCCTGATTCCCCAAGAAGCTGACAGCAAGGCAGTATTGTGCAAGGATTTTCTTAGGGGAAATGCCTGTGTTAGAGAAAATGGGGAAGGAGGTGGAACAGTTTAAGGCAGTTGGCAGACTATGAAGCAAGACTGACTGCAAGTGAACGGGAGAGGGAAAGAAAGTTGGGTGGAAGTACCCTACACTGCTGTGCAGCCCAAAGAAGGCCAGGCAAGGCTGCTGGTGAGTGTTTGAACCACAGTTGGCTATTGCAGGAATCCTGTGTGTCCCAGAAATAGGTATTCCTAGAAAATTGATATTCCTGCTACTGGAGCAACCCGTGGGAAGCATGGTCTCAGTAAAAATGCAGCAATGGATTTCAGAGTTGAGTCCCATGGTCAATTATACTTCCTTAGTTAGAAGTCCACATTCTCATGGCTGCCACATCTGGCATTGATCCTCTGCCAATCCTTTTATGCCCTCTGACATACTTTATACTTTTGTGTATCTAATTCAATGTTTTCATAGACAACTAGACAGATAGGTACATGTGACATTTTCTAGTAATGAATATTTACTTAGGTTACTTCTTTGTGTGGGGAATGATTCTTCCATTTCTTGTGACTTAACAAATTTGGAGCCATGCAATTGAAGCAATCGAGGTGACTTTTTATAGGAAGAAGTCCAGTCATCGAGCCTGATAGACATAGCCCTAAATGTGAACCATGGAATCAAAGCAGTTGCATTACCTGTCTTTCCCACATTTGTTTGGGTGCACGTCAACAGAATTGCTGGTTAATCCCACTGATATTTTCTATAAATTTGTATTGAGTGAAACCTTATGCAAATTCTAACTACAAGCATGTGGCTAACTTTTAACAATATTCTGTGACCAAACTTTAGTCAGGCTCCTGAACCTTCTCCCAAGCCTGTCTGTGCACTTCTGTGTAAATCCAGTTTTAGCAAGAACCCTGCTAAGTCAGTTTAGCAAGAATTGCCCACTCCTCTCAATATTTGCTCACTCTTAATAGCTCATCAGGTTTCTCATCCTCCACCATTCCTCAGGTGATGAAGGATCACTGTGGCCTGTCTTTAGCAAGAATCCTGTTAGTTCAGTTTAGCCAGAATCCTCCTTACTGCAGTGTTACTTCAGAAATTTTCCATCCACTGACCCTCTGCCCTGCTTTTTGGGTATAAATTCCTACTTGCCTATGCTGTTTTCAGAGTTCAGGCCAATCTCTCTCTCCCACTGCAGAATTCCATTGCAGTGGTCCTTATACCTATTGCCATGGTCCTGGATAAAGTCTGCCTTACTGCATTTTAACAGGAGCCATTGAATAATTTTTTCTTTAACAATTTCTTCACTGGACTTTCATATGTTTTTCTGCTTGTTCCTTTAGGCCAGGACTGCAAGGCAGATAGAGATATAAACATGTGTTGTGTAGTATGCACCCTGGCCCTCATGTGGGAGCCACAGAGTACTATGGAGCATCTGGAAAGACTGGGTGACCCATGATGCTTATGGTGCTGTGAGCATTTCTTGTGCTCAGCAGCTACCCAGCATTCTCCAGAACCCAAAATCCTATAGGTTGAGCATGTGTGCCCAATGAAGTAGCAAATGCCTTTGGTTGGGACTGGACCAGGTGGGAAGAAGTAGAGTCTGTAACAGTAGGTGCTGCCTACCTATGTTTTCTGTTCCCTCATGCTGGTGCTCATATTGCCAGCAGGAGGGATTCATTTACTTTACATTTAATAAACATTTATAGCATGTCACTTATGTGGGGCCATAGAGATGACTAGAACATGATTTTCATTCTCAGATAGCTCACAGTGTGGTGGGTTGATGGACTCTTAAGTAGAGAATTAGATCCAGTGTGATAGGACAGCATGAGTAGAGTAAGAGCAAGAGCCATGGAGAAAGAAAATATACCATAAAACTGGCTCTACAGGGCATTGGAAAAAGCCATATCTGAGTCTTAAAGGAACAACATAAGTTTACCAGTTAAGGATGGGATAGGAAGGGGACTCTCAGGCTTGAAAAAATAGCATTTTGTGGGCAGTAAATTGTAGGCAGTTTGTGTTGCTAGAACAGCAGTTCTCAAAGTGTGGTCCTAGGACCGTTGGGAGTCCCTGAGATCTTTTCAGGGGGTTGAGGTCTCATTCTAATTCTCTCATAGGTTTACAATGGTGTTTTCCAAATGCTATATGAAGTGTGATATCACAGCAGTTGAAATGTAGAAGCAGATCTGAGAATCTAGCTGTTATTCAGTCAGATATCTAAGAGATTTGCAAAATTGTAAAACAGTGACACTTCACTATTTTTGTTTTGGAAAATACAGCTGTTTCTCATACAATATATGTTACTAACATGTAATAGGTTTCTTACTGTTAGTTTAAAATTAATAAAACATTTAAAAAATTCCTCAGCTAAAGTTTCTAATATGGTGATAAATCAATAGATATAATTTATATAAACAAAGGCCCTTTGGAATTCTCAATAATTTTTTGAGAGTATAAAGAGGTTACATTATATTGCAAAAGAGACTTTGCATATATGCTTTAAGATCTTGAGATGGGGAGATTATCTTGGGTTATATGCAGCCAAGGTAATGCCATGGCTCTTATAAAAAGGAGGCAAGAGGGTCAAAGTCAGAGAAGCGAGGGATAATGGAAGCAGAGGTCTGAGGGATATGTTCTGAAGACAGAGTGATAGGCCAGGAGGCAAGGAATGCAAGTGGCTTCCAGAAGCCGGAAAAGGCAAGAAAACAGGTCATCCCTGGAGCCTCCACAAGAATGAATGCCTGCTGACATCTTGATTTTAGCCTGTAAGACTCATTTCCAAACTTCTGAACTCCAGAACTATAAGAACTATAAGAACTATAAGTTTGTATTGTTTTAAGCTATTGAGGTTGTAGTAATTGGTTATAGCAGCAATAGGAAACTGATAAACCTGTCCCCCAGCTCTGTTAGCACCAAATACTTCAAATAATCCATGAGTGTCCAGCTCAGAATCCAGCTGAATTCCTCTCAGGGATGTCTACTAGCCAATCTGAACTTATAGCTAGTCTCCTCTTCATGAAATCAGTAGGGGAGAGCTTTTGATGTTGTATGTGTGCATTGCATATGGTAACCAATAATAGGCAGTTTAGAGCCCTCCATACTCTCAAATTTTACTCTACAGGCCCCAATGTTATTTGCATTTCTATTTTACACTTATTTTATTTTAGTAATAAAGTGATAATCATCGAGAACATTTATAGATTAATTTACATATTTACTTAACAATTACTTATTGAGTACCTACTATACTCCAGGCACTGTTCTAGACATTGAGGATAGAATGGTGAAGAGGACAGATATGGCCTCTTTTCCCATGGGGTTACATTCTATTGGGGAAGAGAGACAAACCAGTGTGAGTCGAAACACAAACTACATCATATCAGATTGTGATGAAGTT